ACACACACACACACACACACACACACACACACCATGTATACATCACTTCAGGGGACATTACATTGACTTACATGCATTTCCTGGAGACTTATCCTAACCTTAACCAACACATGCCTAACCCTAACCCTAATCCTAAACCTAACCAAGTCTTCACCCTAAAATTAATGATTCCCCTCATGGGGACCTCCATTTTGTCCCCATAAGGGAAGCGAGTCCCCACACGTGACTGTGTAGACAGATGTAGGTCCCCACAAGTATAGTAATGCTAGGCCACACACACACACACACACACACACACACACACACACACACACACACCATGTATACATCATTTCAGGGGACATTACATTGACTTACATGCATTTCCTGGAGACTTATCCTAACCTTAACCATAACCAACACATGCCTAACCCTAACCAAGTCTTCACCCTAAAATTAATGATTCCCCTCATGGGGACCTCCATTTTGTCCCCATAAGGGAAGCGAGTCCCCACACGTGACTGTGTAGACAGATTTAGGTCCCCACAAGTATAGTAATGCTAGGCCACACACACACACACACACACACACACACCACACACACACTTTTTATTCTGAGCATGGAGCCATCCCTGCTGCTGACAGGGCCCCCTGTAGAGTGTGAATGAGGGAGTAACACAATGAGACGGGGGGCCCGTAATGAGATGCCTGTAGTCTGAGGGAGTCTGTAAAGTGGTCGGAGAATTTTACAAAAGCGAATAAACTTAACTGTTTGTGTGCAGTATACGGTGCTTTGTAAAACTACAATGATTCCCTTTGAGTTGTAGTGGAGCATAAAAGAGCAGGGAGTACAGACTTTTATTGGGGAGACTCAGTTTCTTCTTCCACAAGCATGGGAGTGGGGAGGGTTTTAAAACAGGGGTGTCCAATTTCCATTTGGAGTCAAATGCTTGGTATGAAACTGAAATGAAAATAAATGATATGGTCAAAGAGGGTCTACATTTTCCTTTTTTAATATTCGTTATTATCATTATTTCATTTCAACCTGTATTTAACCAGGTGATCATCGATCTCTTTTTTCATTACATGTTAGACGCTTGTATCCAAAGAGACTTACATACTCAATACTGTGGACAATCCCCACAGGAGACATTTGGGGTGAAGTGTCTCAGGGACACAACGACATGCTGACTGCAGTGGGACTCGAACTTGCTATCCCCTGATTTGAAGTCCAGCACACTACCCACTGAGCCACAGCCTCAGTGGATCAGCCTTTTTCAAGGGAGACCTGCTGCAAGTAGAAAAACAGAAAACAACCAAAGAACTAAAAGGACAACATAGATACAGTGATTTACAATGTACATACCTAACAACTTTTATAGGTACCAACAGGATCAGATTGCATAGCACCTATCCAAGCTTTAAAAACATGCAGTGGAACCAAATTGCTCAGTTTCAAATCTTTTTGCAGACTGTTCCAAGTTAGAGGAGCTGGGCACATAAAAGCTTTCGTCCCTAAGTCAGTCCTAGCACTTGGCACATTTAACAAAACCACATAATGAGCTCTCAGGCAATGGCTACCTGAAACTCTCTGTGTGATCAGAGAGCAGATGTAAGATGGTGTTTACCCAGCATGGCTTTGTAGATGAACATGTACCATGACTGAGCCTCCGTACAGTGAGTGAAGGCAGACCTGCCCTGGCATACAGGGTACAGTGATGAGTACTACAGGTAGTAACACATCTCAGTGCACTGTGAGAGGCGGGATCTAACTTGATCAGGTATTATATTTCTTTTGCTCATTTTTGTTTTACATACATAAATGTTAAACAACAAAAGTTACCCCAATTTCATGGGACTTGTATTTCTATTTAATATATAAATATGTGATAAATAAAGGTGATACAACTTTAAGAATAAATTGTAAGAAGAACTTGTATTTCTTATTTTACCTATATTTTATATTTTAAATAATCATTATTATTTCTTTTTACTTATATCAATTCATCATGTTGACCTGTAGAGGACTTTAAGATTACATTCATGATATACTTGTTGATTACATTTGCTATTCTGTTGTATCATTTGATAATGAAACCCCTATTTATTCTTTTTTTAAGTTATTATTTATTCTTATATTAATTAATTTTGTTTAAGTTGTTGAGTACATTTAATTGAACTTAAAATAAACAATATTATATACTTTTAATTAATAATATGTATTAATTGTATTTTTAACAATATTTTAAACATTTTTTAATTAAACTGTCACATTGTGAGAAGTATTTTTTACTTTTCATTTGATTTTTTTTCATAATTATTATATTTAAATGTGGCCTATTATGTCCAGTTGTTTACTTCATTTTGTTTGCATGTTATTATAGTGTTATTACCCTGACTTCCTGGTTTGCATGCAGCGGAAGCCCCAGTGTTTGCATGGGATAAATGTCTTCCACTTTTTTTTATCTTCCTGGGTTTTTTCTCCCTCGGTTTGAACGTCGCTTCCTGGGCTCGTCCAATGATATGAGTCCACATGCAGCGCAGTGGAGAGGGGCAGCAGCGAGGAGATAAAGCCCGGCTGTCACTGTCAGCACCCACAGCGGCCACACTCAGGAGCCACGGCACGGCACGGCACGGTTACTCACAGCACTGAACCGGGTGAATGCAGCCTGCGGGACACTGCTGCACCATTTCCGGACATAAGAGAGCATTTCCACCGCAGACAGACAGGGACCAGGAACTCACCACGTTTTGTGCGTTTTTTGTGCGTAATTGGAGAAAAAAAAGAATCACAACGGGGGGACACACTAATCCCGAATTCGTCGATATCTATCCAAGTGGGAAAACTCATTTTTGATTAATTGAACTGTTTTTTTTTTTAAAGAGACCTACCAAGCTGTGCCGTGGGAGAAAGCAGCCGCCATGGAGAACTCTCACACCAAGAGTGTGGAAGAAGTTTACAGTCATTTCTGCGTCAATGAGAGCACAGGACTTTCCCTGGACGAGGTGAAGCGACTCAGGGACAAATGGGGCCTAAACGGTAAAAAAACAGCACCTTTTTTTGTATTTTATCTGAACCACTGTGAATGGGTAACATGCCGTGAATGAGACTTGGCTCAGAAATGTCTTGTCATCGCAGCACGCATGGCCGGTGTGAGATCAGTATGCAGGATATGGAGCAGGATATGGGGGAAAAGTCATCAGGAGCATCGGCCGGTGGCTCTCTGCTGGCCGGCCTCAGTGAGGGGTTACAGCCGACGTCACCTCCAGGGTCTCCCGTCGTGTAGAAAGCATATTATAAGTGTATTATTATTTTCAGATTGTTAAATTATTAGATATGATAAGTCAATGTAACATTGTAAGGCATGGTCACAGTATCGTGTAGTTGTCAGATATGGTAACTAAATGCAACATTGTGTCATGTCACGATAACTACTTCAATTATGTATTGCGATTATTAATTATAGCCTATTTTAACATATTATAATCAGATAATGGCATGATAATTAAAGCACACCCTTTCAAAGAGCAATTAACTTTTTTCTTGAGAATGTTCTAGAACTTCAATATGATTTTATTGGTTGAAATTGTAATTGATACGTTATTATTATTTCCAGATGGTTACATCATTAGATATGATAAGTTATGTAACATTGTTAAACACTGGCACATTTTAAGGCATGGAAACAATATCGTATAGTTGTCAGGTATGGTAACTAAATGCAACCTTGTATCTAGTCACGATAACTACTTAAATTAGACGATAATGTTGTCAGATAATTTTTTGCGATTATTATTTTAAGCCCATATAATATCATGATAATAAAAGCACACCCTCTCAAAGAGCTATGAACTTTTTTCTTAAGAATATTCTAGAACTTTATCGGGATTATTTTTGTTTAAATATCCTAATTAAATGGACCAAAAATGTTAAGTATTGTACAATTATCGTAACTTTGTTGAACACTGTGACGATATAATGTTTAGTAACATCAATGTAACATTGTGTCAAGTCACATCAAGATAGCTACTTAAGTTATACGATATGTTGACCGATCACTTATTGCGATATTTCTGTCATTTTAAGCCCATTGGATTATAAAATGATAATTTACTGGCATTATAATTCAAGTACACCCTTTCAATGAGCAATGCACTTTTTCTTCAGAATGTTCTAGGGCTTTAATGGGAGTTTATGTGTAGGCTCAATATCCATTAAATAACGTATAAATAAAACAATAATCGTACGATCAAAACAGTAAATGACATCCTGCTCTGTTCACTAAAATACCCAGGTTTTTTAATAACAGGGAAACTCAGGCAGCAATATTGAAGTCGGCATGGTCAAGGTCACATGTTTGTAACAATAAAGTGTTAACCTAAAAAGAGGTATTTTCCATATGTCCTACAATAATGTGCGCACATTTTTAAAACAATTAAGGTCCTGTAATTATAAGCTGATAATGTAATAAATCCTTGAGGCCATGTTCATACATTTTACGTGAAGTTGATAACGTTAAAATGATCAAGGTCATGTTCACTTGTTGTACGATAAGTTGTTAACGTGAAAGGTAATTTCTCCATATTCTAAAATAATTCATATCTTGCATATCTCATATCAATAATCGAAGTTATGTCCATACATATTGTACGGCAAGATTGTAGCGTTAAAATAATCAAATTCATATAGTGTACGAGAAAGTTATCGCAAACATGTGCAAATATCCTACGATAAGTTTGTAAGTTAAAAAGTATCGAGTATTTCTCTTTATTGTACGATAAGTCAATAACGTACAAATGATCAAGGTCATGTCCATATATCGTACGATAAGTCAGTAACGGCTTAATAAATCCTTGATGTCATGTCCATATATTGTACGTTGAGTTGGTAACGTAAAATAGATACCGATCGTATTAAAACATCGTACGATAAGTCGATAAAGTATTGAGTTCGTTATAATATTTAGTGCGAATGGTCCTAATCTTTATATTGTACAATAGGGCAATGTCATACAACTTATCAAGGTCATCATGGCAGTGTGAACATTTTAACTATTAAATATCACCATGAAACTTCCCTAGCTGATTACGTACATTATGACAATTATTTTTCCGACATTTTATGCTTAAATATGATTATTGGGTTTTATCTAATGCTAACATTTAGAGCGTCTAAGTGAAATCTACAGGCGCATTTTTTAGAAATACCTGAAATTTGCATTTTGGATGCTTTTCACCCGAACTAGTCTAAAAGAAAAGAGTTATTGAATCTAAATTAGTCCAAATCTCATGTTTTTGCCTGTAAAGCACCCTCACTGTGAAGTTATTGGCAGCACTCGTAGAATATGGTGTCACACGATAACCTTGTTGGATGTTTCTCAAAGCTGAAGTGCATCTCATCGTGCGGACAGAGTTTGAACAGCGTCCACGGGATGATTTCAGTAACGTTGAAGTTAATCTCTCTTGTTCCAGGCTTTAGCAGCTGTTTTATATTAATATCACCCGGGAGGTCATGGATATATATACTAACCCCCCCTTTGAATCACATTGACCTTTACATTGATTGGAGTTTCCTTTTTTATTTTTGTCCCATTGTGTATTAAAGGTTAAGGGAGTGGATTAATATGCCATTCTGTTGATACTAATGCTAGTTAGTGAAGGGACGTTGTAGGATTTTATATTAATATCACGATTAAAGATACCAATTTCTACAGAAGAGAGTTAGGGCCACATGTAAATCTGATCAGATCTGATCAAAAGGGATATTTTGGTTGAGTTGTGAGTTCTCAAGTCCATAATTCTTGAGATTTCCAGAAAGAAATATAACATTTTGTCCTCATTTTATTTTAGATTTAAGTCAGAATTTTGAGCATTTTCCAGCATTTTTACAATCATTGCGAGGTGGGAAGCTTTTTAAAGTCCCTCAACGATTTTCACCATCAAGCTGCTAATGAAAATACACCGCACTCAACTTACTGTGAGACAAAAGATCCTTAAGACTCTTTAAATATCACTAAAACATTAAAAAGGCATTTTGTTGTTGCATTAAATATGGGGGAAATGCAGAGTTTTGTGAATCTTTTGATTGTTTTTGGGAGAATATTGTGATTTATTTTGGCCTGGTCATAGTGACAGGCTTCAGCAGCTGTTTTATATGAATTACACCGGGTAGGAACTCCCCTTTAAATCTCATTGACCTTTACAGAGTTTCCTTTTTCCTATTGTGTATTAAAGGCTAAGGGAGTGGATTTAAAGGCCACTCTGTAAGAAGTATAACCTGATACTGTTTGGGACAATGTGAGATTTTATCACTGGACCTGATTAAACAAACTCACAATAAGTTGATTGTGGTGAATTTCCACTATGAGGATAATTGTGAATGTTTTATTTTCAAACGGCGGTTGCTAACAAGTGTCTAAATGAGACGACTTAACGTCATCCAGCCCAGCATTAACCGCCTTTAGCTTAGCGGAGGTGACGTGAAGTCATGTGACCGTGCTGTAGTTCCTTTATAGCCCAATCATTAGCCACCTTTAGCTTAGCGGTGGTGACGTGAAGTCATGTGACCGTGCTGTAGTTCCTTTATAGCCCAACATTAGCCTCCTTTAGCTTAGCGGTGGTGACGTGAAGTCATGTGACCGTGCTGTAGTTCCTTTATAGCCCAACATTAGCCTCCTTTAGCTTAGCGGTGGTGACGTGAAGTCATGTGACCGTGCTGTAGTTCCTTTATAGCCCAACATTAGCCCTCCTTTAGCTTAGCTGTGGTGACGTAAAGTCATGTGACCGTGCTTTAGTTCCTTTATAGCCCAACATTAGCCGCCTTTAGCTTAGCGGAGGTGAAGTGAAGTCATGTGACCATGCTGTAGTTCCTTTATAGCCCAACATTAGCCGCTTTTAGCTTAGCGGAGGTGACGTGAAGTCATGTGACCATGCTGTAGTTCCTTTATAGCCCAACATTAGCCGCTTTTAGCTTAGCGGAGGTGAAGTGAAGTCATGTGACCGTGCTGTAGTTCCTTTAGATCCCAACATTAGCCGCCTTTAGCTTAGCGGTGGTGACGTGAAGTCATGTGACCGTGCTGTAGTTCCTTTATAGCCCAACATTAGCCACCTTTAGCTTAGCGGTGGTGACGTGAAGTCATGTGACCGTGCTGTAGTTCCTTTATAGCCCAACATTAGCTTTTTACTTCAAACTACATCAAGTGGTGTTAATGTGTGGAGATTATCCTGCTGAACAAAATGTGTTTTTTGCAATAATCCAAAATCACATGGGCTTTTTGTGGAGGGAACAAGGGAGATGCTGCCTTCAGGGCCAACCTACAAAAATAGCTTTTTCACTGCGCTACTCCCTGGTGATTCCAATTCATTTTGAGTAATTGAGCTTGAATTAAGGGAACATATTGCCCTCCTCTTGTTGTAGGAGTCAGCTCCCCATCAGGAAACAGGAGGTGCTTGTCTCCATCTGTCATTGTGTGTTATGTAATAGTTTTTATACTAAACTTACCTTCTTTTTCTTTCATTTCCTGCGTGTTTCCTGGATCTCCACACACAGAGTTACCAGCAGAAGAAGGTAAGCACTGAATGTCTCTTACTGTCATTTTATGATAATAACCAGTGTCTGTAATGGATGGTTTTTATAACCTACTTTATTTTTTTGCAGGGAAATCTTTGATGGAGCTTGTCCTTGAACAATTTGAAGATTTATTGGTTCGAATTCTTCTGCTGGCCGCGTGTATATCTTTTGTGAGTATTTCCCTACATTATTTCTCTATAAGCTAAACATTACGTTAAGCACTGTTCGAAATGGGGGGGAGCTAGAGGAGCTTGGCTCCCCCGAAGAGGGAGGGAGCTCCCCTGAAGGCTGACTTTGAGATAAATAGGGGGAGCCCAAAACAATCGTGCATATTTGTTTCACACAGATTAGAAATGTTGAGTTTCTGTAAATAACAGTTCTTGAAATAAATAATAGTCATTGTTCATTACAGTTTCTGAATATTTGTTTTATATTTGTGAATATTTCTGGGTGTTGCCATCTGTACGTGGCGGCGCTGCATTCTTTGCGCTACTTACGTTGCTATGGTTACGGTGGCGATGCCGGTATTTGAAATGTTCATATTGATATTTTTTTAACTCTGTCTTTGTAATAAAAAAATATGGCAAAACGAAAACAGTCAAGTGAACGGAACAACTCTTAGTTGGCCGGCTGTAAGCGGCGTTAGGGTCGAGTTTGACAGCTCCACACCGAGGGAGAGGCCTGCCGATGCGGAGCCTGAAGAGGCTTCAACAACGGCGAAGTGACACCGTCTGATCGAATCCGCGCTGCTGCGCCAATCAACAGAGCGTGCGTGTGATAGTAGCAGGATGTGCATGGAAAAATAGGGCTCCCCCGAAAGCAAATGGGTAATTCGAACACTGACGTTAAGCATCCTACAAATGGCTCTTCCTTTCCACCTCAGGGTGAAGGAGTGTGTATGCTAACACACATTTGCAGATGGGATTGTTATTGAAGTGTATGTTAAATGGCAGAGGGGTAACTCCCCCTAATATTCTTCCATAAATTCCAGAAAAGCAAGAAAATAAGTACCGCTCTGACTTTTATGGACCAAAACTGTAGTAATTACACATAAAATGACACATAAATGTGATTAAACTCCTTGAAACACATATGAATGTAACTACTAGTACCAGAAATCTCCTGAAAATGTAGTGAAATACAAGTTTAATTGAGTATTTCACTACTGCCTGCCCTAAAAGGCAGTGAAAAAAAACAAGACAAAAGATTTGAAATTGAACAAAAATAGTCGTATAATCAAATTGTTCTCATTTCCGCAGCTTGATTTTTTGAAAGTATTTCTGTATTTCCGTATTCTACATCCCTACATTTAATTACATTCATGCTAAATAAGCTTAATTGTACCTATTCTTCTGCCGGCTGCACGTTTATCTCCTAGTGTTAGTATGTATGTTTGTTTATGACTCTGAGGAGAGCCCATCGTCCCACACATAGCTCCCCATTCCCACCTCGGGGTGAAGGAGTGTTTATGTGAAAGCACATTTGCAGACGGGATTATTATTAAACCCCAAGTGTCGGGGGTGATTTACGCGGTGCATGGTGCTGAAGTGTGAACGTCTTCAGTGTGTTTAACCCGGCTGAGGTTACACACACTTATTAAAGGCTGAACAGCTGACATCTGAGGAATGGTGACAGAAGCAGATTGAGTTTCTCTCACCATGTGCACAGTAAGACATTTCAAGCATGGTTGCTGTGTCAG